TGCTCGGCGCAGCACCATCTCCAGGTCGTCCCAGCTGGGTGGCTCTTTCTGGTACGACTGCCGGGCGATCCGGCTCGTCGTCGCATCGAGCTCCGCAACGAGCGCCGCCTTGGCGCTGGCCTTGGGCATGATGATTTTACTGGTTGCAACTTCTGCGAGAGGCCATGACCTCTGACAACACATACATTCGCACAACTACTATATACTGCATTGAAGTGACCAAACTTTATATCTCATTTAGTATGGTAGCGATGGCTTGAACCCCTTTCGATTTGAATTCGCACAGTCAAGTGGACGTAGAGACCCTTACCACTCAATACGTGCATTGATTGGCTCTATGGGTCGAACCATGCGCGTTCCCACAGACCATGAATACGCATGGATCCACTCCAATCAACGCTACGTGCTCGGAGATAGACCGAGATTCACGCAACTTGGTTGATATGCAGTGGTTGGTGTCAGGAAAGACCGTCGACTGCAAGACAACGCGTACAACTTTGTAGGAGAGCGGCAGAACGCAGAGTTGGCCCTGCCTGACGATCGCATTGCCTGGGCAATCCATATGCATGGGGTGCTTCATTGTGTGGTGGCGCGTTGCGACGTCTGCTTGAGCAGCTCTCGTGTCGAGCAATAGCAAGCAAGGTGAGATCATTCGAGCGTTCGCATGGGAGTAGGCTTCAATAGCTTCGCCGCAATACCGCTCCGAAACTCGAAGCCAACACCGATGCTGAAGCCGGTCACTTCATTTCCGATGCGTGTCTACCGGTACTACCGGTAGACACTACTTGTTGAATGACTGATCGCGTCAGTGAATTCGCACGAGCGAGCGATTTCAAGTAAAGGTAAAGAGCGATATTCAGTGCACAGCGTTTGATTCGCCACGGACCACACTTTATCGCATGTGGATTGGGTGCGTCAAGCAGCGTGGGATGTCGATGGAATCGAGCGCGAATTGCAGCATCTTTCCCATGCCCACACTTCATTTTCAAAGTGAGCGAGAAGAGCAGCCACCCGAGACGAGAAACGGGGGACGGTGGCGGCAGTGGTCGCCGCCATGACCATCAAGGTACACACAACTCTTCTTCTGTTTTGAAGATGTACATATTGTCTATAGGAGACACACCAGGAGTCCACCCATTGGTGAACGCAACCGAGCGACTGGCACCGCTGTCGGCAACGTCGACCCGCGCCATCACGCGCCGACACCGGACGCCACCGTACGCACCTTTTCGCAATGCACTGTGAGCGTGACACGTCATGCTAGGTACCGACGCTCGGAAGGTGTCGATGGCTGACAAGAAGCACGAGCGGATGAACGCTTCGGTACACGACCTCTTCTGTGCATGCATGTCGTTGACGTACTTCGCTAGGTCCCGACCATCACGAAGAGCGACGTTGGCGAGGTCGTTCTCGCCCTTCAAGTTCTTTTGTTGATGCAACATGTGTAGGACCCATTGATTTACGGCTCGGCGGCGTGGGACGCGAAGGTGCTCGCACAAGGCACGCTGTCGCGTGAGCAGGCGAGCGCGATCTCTGGCTCGCCAGTGGACATTACATTTGACCGTACGAAGATATTTGGCCTATCGATCGCTGGCTTATCATTTCTCATGTAGACTACCCCAATTTGCCCCATCATCGACTCTCGGGTGACTGGCCGACTGGCTTCAAGTTACTGTGAATCGACCCTTACGGCAGACGAGAGTCGTTTGAAGCTCAAGGACTTTGCTTTCGTCGAAGAGATTGCTCGCGGCAGCTAGTGCGTCCTGTATGCGGCCGTGCACACGCCGTCCGCGACCATCGTAGCGATCAAGGCCGTCCCTCTGACAGCGGTCGAGACACCCGGCGACGCGGCCAACTTTCGGCGCAAATTTGAGTCGCAGTACCGCGTCCGTGGTGGCAACGTCGTGGCAGCTTATGGCTGGCTTTTGGACAGCGACCACACCTACATTGTCCAAGAGCTGTGTTCCAAGTGCAACCTCTTTCGAGCGCTCGTCAGCGCCTTTCGCCAGCTGTGCTTCTTGCATCTTTTACGGGGATTTCCATCCCCCGATTCTACTAACAACACAAATACAGAGATTTGATCTCGATTTCTCAACTCGCCTGTGGCAGCGCCAAGACGGCAGCATCGACCAAGGGCGATGTAAGCAAGTCACTCGAAACGATCGACGAATCCAATCCGAGTAGAAAATCTAGTAGGGTCGAGGAAGCTGCCGCTGTCGTCGCAGCCCTTGGCTGCAATGCGCTTGGAGAACTTGGTGCAAATCATGTGCTCACGCTTCGAGATGCTCTCATGGCGGGACTGCATGCTCTGGATACGGCCCGATGGGTTCGATGCGGTGTTGACGGAGCCTCGAAGAGCCCAAAGCAAATCGTTCTTGTGAATCGTGGTCTCCAGTTGTCACTAGTACTCTACTACGAGAAAATGTTGCAGATATTGGGGAATGTGTTTCGCGTTGAGCTCGTCTTAGCGGCGGTAGCGGTGGCGCTTAAAGTTGAAGTAGAGATGCAGGATGCCACGCTCGTAGACGCACTTGAAGCCGCGCTTGTGCGAGTACTCCCACTCGCGGTTGACGATTTT